GGGAGCAGGATTATGACCAGCGTTTTCTTGTATTTATAATGACTAACGAACCTGTTTCTCCCACTCGGAGCCTATTATTATTCTTATTCTTATTCTTATTATTATTATTATTATTATTATTGTCTTAGTGAACATTTTTATTGATTATGTATGACTACTGAACCTTCTGTTTAATTATGAATAACGAACCTTTCATTCGTTTATGACTAATGAACCCCTTTTCTGCATTATGACTGGCAAACAATATGAATTGTGGCCCTTTTATCAAATCATGACGACTGAACCCAGTGGCGTAACGACGAGTCATCAGGAGCGGATCCAGAATTTTCCAAAAGGCGGGGGGAGGAAACAACAGTTTCAGAATAGATAAGTGAGCAACACAAACACTGATTTGCATTGAAATTTTAAAAATTTTGTTTCAAAACGATGGAGGGGGGGGGGAGATCTGGATCTGGATCTCCCCCTGGTCATGGGGGAGAGAATATGCTGGGCCCTTGCTTATCAGTCAAGCATTTTCGTTCACCAAGTGACCGGGGTGTGTATCCACCCTAGAGATAATTGTTGAGACTGCAAAGACAATGTCAACAAATATCGTGTGACTATTTTAACAATATAATAACTATTTTTCCACACACATTTTTAATTTGAATATTTGCCTGCAACGTATAAATTAATAAATCGTCATTTGCTCACGTGTACATTGGTTTCATACTTAATCATGAATGTACCATAAATGCTTGAATAAGCGCCGCTCTCGAATTAGCACTGCACCAAACACGATTTTTTTTGTTAAGCGCCGCTCTCGAATAAGCAACATGGCGCTTAATCAAGAGTACTGTATATTATATTGCCCTGTGTGTAATGAAACATTTTGATAAACATGGTTTAAAATACAATGTATACAGTGGTAAAATGAATAAATAACACAATGAAGACACAAGCATTTCTTTATAAACCTTTATTTACGATGATGGGCCTATCGAATTACGTGAAATAGGCAACATAGGAACGGTCATGGAAAGCACCACGCCGATATTTTTTTATAAGCGCCGCACTGAAGACCCAGCCCCACCTTTTGGAAAGTTAAAAAAAAAAGTAAAAAGAAATAATTGATCGCCCAAAACGCCTCAGGTTATTTTTTCGGGCATCTAGAAAACACAAATTTCGCGGGAGAAAGCATGGTAGTGTTGTCTCGATCGGCCACACTTTCGCCTCTCCCACTTTCAGACATCTCTGAATCCGCCCCTGGCGCTAGGTAGTAGTAAGAAAGGAGCCCCATGTGGCCTCTCCAAAATCCCATTTGGACTGGACCCTCAGAAAGCACATGCATTACGCCAACTGTTAAGACTCGGTAGTGAATTACCCAGGGTTGCGCCACCACCCCCAAGTGCTGACAGGCATTACGCCAATGAGTGAACCCTTTTCTCGATTATGAAGAGTGGCCTTTATTTTTGGGTGCGCAAGACGGAATGTTTCATATATACGGTATTTGTATATTACTATTAATTATTCTGTACATTTCAAACTTTCCTTCAGTTGTTACAAGAAATTTAAAAGCATCCATTGTCACCAGTTTTGAATGGATGAGCAGGAAGTTTTGTACACATAAACTAGAGGTAATTTCCATCAAACGTTCATGCCTCTTTTTAAGTTGAATCCCCGGGTTCCCCATACACCTACAAAACTAAACAGGGGATTCATCAATATACATAGCTGAATAGTACACGTCGCCTGGATGGCGCGGTCGGTTAAAGATGTGTTCTAAGGAATCGCGTCTTGGTATTCAAATTCAATTTTTTTTTTTTTTTTTTTTCAATTTTTAGACATTATTTTTTTTTATTTATCTTTAATCTTTTTGAATTTTTTTTTTCTGTTAGTGGTAGTAATTAATGGCAATTTTTATCCCTTGCCGAAAAAATCCAATATAATAACTATGCCACTGTGTACTGTATTTAAGCTATACCTCCATGATTTAAGCATGGAGGATATTTACTCCATGGTTTAAGCATGTTTTTTATAGGTGTCAAAAAAAATCCTTGCTTGAAAGGTGCATATTTAAAGCACTAAACGCTGAATAGAGGTAACCTCAGTTTAATGCAGAGACCGGTGAGCAGTCGCTCTTGTTTATGATTAGCAAAGCTTTTTCGTGATTATGACTAGCGACCCTCTGGTATAAGGTAAGCTAATGTTACCAAAAACAATAGGCTCATTAAACTTAGTGTCATCTTGCAATTTGCTAAGTTTGAAACTAATTGAACTTATCAAATTTAAGTCATCGTGTGGTAACAAACAATTACTACCGACAACACAAATGAAAAAGAACAAAGGTAAATAGAGTAAATAATAATTTGACCGTGTTAACCCCAAAAAGAAGTTAATATATACATGTATAACGAATAAATAGTAAGCTATCACAACATTTTACTCTAATATTTAGTCCTACATTTAACATCCAGTAGTATACAGTACATTATCATCATCATATACATTTTGATCATGGGTTACTTTTCTCCATTTTGATCTCCAAGCTCCTCTGTCCTAAGCCAATTCCCGACCCAGACCTTTTGCCCTAAGGTCAATATGGATGACTTCCTCCCATGTTGTACAATAGTTTAATTAATTCTGAATACCTCATTAGCAAGTGCCGCCAATTCACAGGTGTAGTTTTTACCAAATGTGAATTTTGTTAATTGCACGTTTGCAATCAACATTTTAATAAAATACAGTAAATACAGCTCTATACCAAAGATATTGAAACATTTTATACTTCATTTATTGTGTTGCTTATAAGTAGTGGTGGTGAAGATATACTACAAAAGCCAAAAGTACATGTCTTACAGTATATGAAGTACAGTAGATACTCATCCTAAGAATTTTGATACCTTTTAAAAATACTTTATGAAAGGAATAAACTGACTATAAAATTAGTAAAATATGAAAAACCAAAAAAAAAACAAATAAATTTTGTATAAGTGCTCAACGTCAAAATGTTGAAAGTATAATACATACTCCAAGTATTGAAATACACGCCATCGTGTTGGGATTCAATATTTCGACATTAATTATGTCATCATCAGGACATTAATTATGTCATCATCAAAATGTTGAGCATGCACTCAAACATATGATCTTAGCTGGCTGTCAGTTTGTTCACTATACATTCTAGAAACAGTCATGTTAGGTATGTTTGTATACATATCTCGAAACAGTCATGTTTGCAGTGGTGGGTACAGACTTTTTTTTTTTGCTGATATGGCAACTGGGCAGTAACTGAGGACCAATGAAACATTACTTCTTGTTTGCCATGTACAGCCTACACTGTGTACCTTTATAAGCATTGTGTTTAAACAGTCCAAAGAAAACTACAGGGTTTGAAATTCTAACTGAAGAAATAAGTTGAGTTGTTTACATGGTTGAGATCAAACTCTCCTTTACTTGGTATCCTTTCAATAAAGTGTTTCAAGTGAGTGGCATTCGGTTGATCTTGATGAAATCTTGACCCTGCTGGAATTTGTCTAAATTAAAGAAACAATAAATCTAACTATAGCCCATAACAAATCTTTTTCATAAAAAAATCTATTATCAAGTAAACAATCAAAAGTTAATTAGTATCTACAATGATTACCAGGAATTGTGGTAAAAACCTACAGTATATCTCACTTCATTGGCTTTTCTTGCGTTGGCAAAAAAAATCTCTTTGCATGCATTTTTTTTAGCTTTATATATGTTACTGATGAATTTTCAGTACATTGTGATTCCACATGGTGTACCTTAAATGAAATGGACTAATTCCATCATCTATATATGAGTCTAACTATTTGCAAAGAGTTTGATTCATGGGATTATAATATTAACTCTGATAAGATCAGATTGAAAGGGTCAATGAATTTAAACTTCTTGGTGTGTTTAAAAATGTAACGTGTCATTCTCATTTAAATTACAGTACATATGTAATAGGGCAAGCAAACACAAGATGAAAAGCAATGTCTTGGTTAGTAATGTTAAATCTTTCTAAGGCTCTTATAATACCAGTAATAACACATTGTTGTTGTATGTGGCCACTTAATGAAAATTCTAACTAAGTAGTTTAAAAGTACAGAGGAAAGCGACCAGAATTATTAGAAGGAAATGGCACACCTCATATTCATACAGATTAAAGGAAATAGGCTTTCTAAGTATAGAAGATGTATTCAAGGTTAACAGATTCACACTTGGTTTTAAAATTATTCATGGCTACACTTTCCATCCTCCTAAAATTATTTTGTTAGATCAAGTGCTAGGTGTGAAGTTCCTTTCAGTTTCAATTTCTTTTATTCAAGTCAAAATCACAGCCAAGGCTGAATTATATTATATTTTCAAAAAATGTAGGCTACAGTAATATTAAAAAATCAAAACATAAATCAAACGCAAGCACATGACATGAAAAATGGATATAAAAGTAACATTTAAAAAATCAAAATTTGCTACATCAAAAGTACACAGGTTTAAAAACATATACGTAATAAAATAAATTATTTTTTTTATTATTAATCATTGAGTCATTATTATTACTGTTTATTTGTTTGTTTTGTTTATTTCAACTTTTCCACACATAAATAATATATTTAAAAATACATTTCATTCTTAATAAAATTCACAGATAATGGTATAACAGTATTTAAAGTAAATATTAAGGATGAAAATTCACATTTCATTCAATAATTATAAACATAAATTCAATTCAAAATTCAATTACCATTAAAATTACATCAAAATTGGGAAAGCAAAAGGCGACATAAAAAAGAGGCCATCATTTATATTAAACAGAAATATAACAAATAAAGTGAATGTCATTTAAAATGGACCAATAACTCTGGGTTTTAATGTTTATTGTCATGCATTTATTAAGTGGATGTTTAATACATTGGAAGGCCAAGACCAATACTTTTTAAAATTCATCTTTTGTAATTTTTACAAGATTATAGAAACAACTTACAGTACAAATTAAACAATCAACATCAATTTCTAATTTCAAAGCTCAACTAACAAAATACTTTATCTCAAGTTACTGATGTATTATCTCTATCTATTATTATATTATATTTTTTTCTGTAAACACTTGTGTTTCTTTCTACATGAAATACAATACATTTTTTTATACTATTTTTTATTAACTGTTGAAAACTTTTATTGTAAACAAATCAGGATTAAAAAAATTTAATCAATTTAAGTTAAGTTACTTTTGTTTTGGTAGAGAAAGTTCAATATTTTTCATCTACTGTATTTAATAATGGAGTAAGAGCAGTATTCTGTTTGGGTTTACAGATACTGTTTGCTCCTGGCAAGATTGTCCTTTACTTTGCCAAATACATATTATTATAAATTATTAATATTATTAATTTATTATTATTATTACCCTCGCCTTTGTGAAGGAATGGTGAAGGGTATTGTAATAGCACATGTCTATAAGGAGTGGTGAAGGGTATCGCACAGCTATGTGTGTGTGTGTCTGTGTGTTCTTCCGGGAGCATAACTCAAAACTACTGGACCAATTTACTTCCAAATGTTTAAACATTGGCACTATTACATGTACCTCGGTCTTCTTGAATTTAGTGCTGATCAGAAGTAAGATGCAGTGGACCGCTGGCCATTATTTTTTCAATACATAAATATGCCGCAACAGGGCCAGGGTTTGTAATCTCAGATTATCTTGTTACTATTTATTTTTTATTATTATTATTTATTATTTTTATTATTTTTATTATTTTTATTATTTTTATTATTATTAATATTATTATTATTATTATTATTATTATTAATATTCTTAGGCCTATTATTATTATTTGAATTGAATTTTGATCATTTTATTAAAATTAAGAACTTGTGATATAGAAAAAAATCAAATAGTTATATATCAATAACAACTGAAGAATTTACACATCCATACCTGTAATTTACCAAAAAAAAAAATCAGGGATTTATAAAACCCTGAAAAAATAGTGAATACTTACAGATTTCCAAATTTCCTTATGAGAGACTGTCCAAGGTCATCCAGTATTGGTTCACTATGTAGGTTGACAAATTGATTTCTACAAACCTTGAATAAAAAAAATCAACAAAATATAATAAACACAATTTTATTGCACTGTATGTGACATTGTCAACATACCTTCATCAGAATATTTTTGGCCGAGTGCCGCCCTCTACCAGCATTTTCAGGAATGTTGAGTTAGTTGTAGCTCACAAAAACATATCAATTTGCTTGGCTTGCTTTTACCACATAAAAAAACATTTTTAATACTGCACACATGCAAGAAAGACAAAAATGAACAGATTGAGCGCACTACACAGCGCAGTGTTTGGGCGATTTCATTATCTGAAAAGGGTATGTAAAAATGAACTTTTTTAAACGATCAATACATTCATAATTTATGCATAACACTGTAGAAATAAGATAAGATTAGTAAACAGAGATTCAACATCAAAAGATACAACATCAAAAGATTCAAAACGGTAACCAGAACTAGCTAGTTCTTATCTAACTTTATTAGGGCCATATTTTAATGACTGAACTAAAAGAGTCTATTGCTCCTAAATTTATAGAATCAGGTATTGTTAAGTTTTATACTCGTTTTGTTGACGACATACTAGTGCTGGCTAAACTTAATGATTTTTATCACATCCTACGTCACTTTAACGCTTTTCATAAAAAGATTAATTTTACCTTTGAATCATTTGAAAAGAGTGATATAGTACATTTTCTGGATTTACAATTTACAACAGTGTAGGAAGCATGAGTATATATCGTAAAAATACACATACAGGTCAATATATCCTTTATGATAGCTTTGCCCCATGGAACAATAAGATTTCTTGGATTCGTAATTTAGTTTCAAGAGCCCACAAACTTTGTACTCCTGATAAACAAGCAGAACTTTTTAACATTAGAAAATTTATGTCATGGAATGGGTACCCTTTAAAAGTTGTTAACCATGTATTCAATAAATTAGATGAACCGGAAACGTATACCTACGCCTACTGACAATAGCTTGATTAAGATATGAGTTAGATTGCCTTATCTAGGAAAGGCAGGTGAATCCATTTCACATAGATACTTAAAGAAAGTAAAGAAACACTTAGTTAAAGAGGTATTCATAACTTTATGGCAGTACAAAAATGTCTCTCATTTTATATTTGCTAAAGATCAAACCCCTAAAGAATATAGGATTATATTGGTAAGACAGATAGATGCTTAATAATAAAGCACATTCTTCACGATCTGATAGTGTTATAAATGATCATATACAACATTGTGAGGCATTCCAACATGTTTTAGGTTTACAAGGTATACTTGAAAATGATAATGTAGCCTGTAATGTAAGTAATAAATTAAGTTTAATATTATCTAATACTAACATTATTAACAGTTTGCAAAATTGGTCTATAATATTGTTTAAAGAAGTGCTTGCTATACGTACGTACGCTACACCTGTTGCTAAACAATGGGCTGAAAGCTTCAAAGCACCTTTCTTTGTTTTTGTAGGTAGCTTTGATCAGTAGGGTTAGAATGCTTTGATTTTAGTTTATTCATAGCTATGTCACCTACTAGGAGTAATGTTTTGATTGGTCAAACACTTTTGGTACTTGTGCATATAAGCTTGCAAATATGGATAATTTTTCATTCCTGATGAAGACATAATTAATGTCTAAATATTGAATCCCGACACGGTGGCGTGCATTTCGATACTTGGAGTATGTATTATACTATCTTATTTTTATCGACCTATATATCATTGGAAGTTAATATTGTAAACTTACTTGTTCCTTTTATAGGAGCACTTAATTATATAAATGAAGGGGTTATTAATTTTTAAAAATAGTGTATCTTTATTGTTCTTTGGATGAGTACTCTGAAAACTCACATTGAATTCTACTGCAATGGATGTAAGTGATTTTCATTATTTATTATTTACACAATTTTCCATTGTACTTATAAAAACAGTAATATAGTTATAAATTTTATTCTTATAGACAATCAGCATCGGCCAGTAAAAAATGGGTATTTCTTTTTTGCCCACCATTTACAAATTAGAACATTAATGTTCTGATAAGAAAACATATGACATTCCAATTGTTTTGTTTTTTTAATTTTCTATAATATTCTTACTTTATTCATAATATCCACTGTACTAGGATGTGTCCAGAAACAGTCATGCACAGAACTAAATGTAATACCAGCCCTGTGGACATAAAAAGTAGAAATTTAGTACTAGTGAACTTTTAGATTCTACCACTTAAGTGAACTAACATTAACAATTGCATATTAAACATTCATGTCAACATACTATTCATCAGAAGCCTCTACATTTAGCATAACTGTTAATTAAATTTAACAAATAATATTGCACACATTGCATTAATACTTGCATGTTACTGACAAGTACTAATAGGATGTATTCAGTGCATGGGTGGTGCCAGGTCCCCCTACGGGAGGCAGGGTGACAACAAGAGCAAGGTAGGCGTGGTCGGGATTCACTCACAATCTTTCAAAAAATGTGGTGCAGGGGAGAGGCCTCCAACAATTTTGACAAAGGGTTTCAAAGGCTTATTTATTTATTTATTTACAAAATTTCTATAGCGCCCTTCGATTTTATTTGGTACTCACAAAGTATACATACAAAATATAAATACCAGGATAACCCGTAAAGCTGAATCCAGCTTATTTCCAATGGGTCCTACAGACAATCAAACAAGAATACAAATGTGAATAAAGCACAGCAAAAACAAAAACATCAAACAGGTTACTGCACATTACAAAGGTGAATCTTAGGCACGTTTATACTCGTATATATTTTTAATAAACTTAATACTTGACGGAAGATTGTTCCAGTCTTTTATAGTATTGTAGAAAAATGTTTTCGAGGCTTGCCCTTTGATATGTGGCATTACAAAATTTTCACCTGATTTTCTAGTATTATAAACGTGTATTTCAGAAATTTTAATAAAGTTATTTGTTAAAAATGAAGAATCTATGTCATTGTATATTTTAAAAGCATGAAGAAACCTAAGAAATTTAACCCTATTGTTTATATTTAGATATCCAAGTGTGGAAAATTCTTTTCCACCTACATGTGCCGTAGGAGGAAGGTTTAGAATAACCTCACAATCTTATTTTGAGTTACTTGTAGTTTATTTTTTAATACAGTACTTATACCAACGTACAAGGCAGATGCAGCGTAGTCGAAAATACATTGGATAAGGGCAGAACATAAAAATTTACGACTTCGCCTGTCCAAGCAGCTAGCTTGTCTATACATGAAGTTCAATCTAGAGTTAGCTTATTTAATTAAATTATTAACATATTCATTGTTTGAAACACAATTATCAATTTGTAAGCCAAGGTACTTAATGGAATTGCAACTTTGGATGGTCCGTCCATCATAGTGAATGCTGAAGTCTTGAAAAGCGTTTAACTTTCTTTTAGATCCAAATATAATGCACTCGGTTTTTTGTGGGTGCATAGATAGCTTATTTTCGACCAACAAATTGTTGCACAGTTCCACACTGTACACTAGCTTATCAGAAATGTATAATGGGTCACGATGAGCAACCAAAATTGCACTGTCGTCAGCATATAATAATAGTTGGCATTCATTATCAATAAATATTGACATGTCGTTAATATAACAGTTAAAAAGAAGCGGACCTAATATACTTCCTTGAGGGACTCCATGAGTACATCCCATGGGTTCAGAAAGGGTACCGTCAATACAGACAATTTGTTTTCTATTAGATAAATATGTGACTTGAACCATTCGACCGACCCAACCACCATCGCTTTTAATTTTTCACATAGAATAATGTGATTGACAGTCCTTTGCATGAGTACTCATGTGATTGACAGCCCTTTTCATGAGTACTCATGTTCAAAGCGCTTTACATTAAGAATACAAATAGAATACAAAATTAAAAAATAATTTAGAAAAAATAGAGCCAGTATTTATTAACCAACAAGATTTAATAAATTTTATTTTTGTTCTCCCCACCCTGCTGGTGCCAGCCCTGATTCAGTGCACTAACCTTTGGCAGAAGAGGCTTGTCAGCATCATATGAGCAGAGTCCAGGGAGTGAATAAAGTTAGGGGGAAATGCATTCTTTTGTTTCATAGTATCCGGTTTACTGCATAAAGAAATTACAAGTATAAGAAATATTTATCAGCTATTGTTTAATAAATTATGTGTTAAATAAAAAATAAATAAAAATTTTTATGCTGCCTGTCATTCACAAGAAGAAGAATAAATTATTTTATTTTTATCTCATGTATTAAACTGTACATCTGATATGTTCTACCAGGTTAATACAACCTCTCTCATTTCCTCTCCTATTCCCTGCCCCTTGACCCCAACCTCTCCCTTTTTTATCTTCATTCTCACCTTTTTTTATACTACCTGGATGGTAGGGAATAGATCTATCTCTAAGTAACATAAAACAAAAATTGAATTAAATTACTATTTATTACATATAAAACATTGATTTAGGAATTGAGAAACTCAGCAATTTAAATTGATATCTTTAGTCCATAATATTCTTATTCTTAAAATAATTTTACTTGTGTCGATAAATTTTATTATTAATGAATGATATGAAAATTAGCACTAAAAAATGCAAATTATGTTTATTTGCAACACAAGTTATTCCAAATGATGTATGTAAAACATAGGGGCCAGAAGCCTTTGTACTGCTCACAAATAAAACCCTGTCTAGAATAGATGTATCCCTCATGCTCACTACATGGACTACCAGCCTTTGTATAAAATTATTGCTAAACTAAGTAAGTCTAAATGGAGTTCTTTCATGTCTATGGGACACCTAAACAATAGCAGTAGAGCACAAAACAAAGACAATTTCGCTGTCCAAAAATTGTTTGAATTTTATTTACATAAATATAGACTACTTTTATGATGCTTTTTATCTTTAAAAAGTAATGTCTACAAACATTGAAATGGCTTCTGAGCCAAAATGGGGGATTTGGCAGCCCTTCTCCACACACTTTATTATAATTCCCATAACCATACTGACCAGTTACAACTTCTATTTTATCTGAAAATCCCAGTGCTAGCACGTCCACTGTCAGAGAGATTTTGATACATTTTAAAATGATTCAGTTTTCCAATACTTACTATCTTGTGAATATAGGATCCATTGATTTACTTGATTTATTTGGTCTGTTGGAAATTTTCTTTTGGTAAGGTTGTACAACTGGCAGACCAAGAGGAGTTTCCCATTGCACTAGTTCACCAGCTTTTGATATCATCCAAGCACTGTCTGTCAACCAATCCTGTAAAGTACAGAAAATTCTCAAACTGAACAGCAAGTTAGTATATTAATTTAATCAATAAATTTGATGCACTGCCAAAAGATGCAGTGTATACAAATAACAAACACCTTACAGCCCCAGTATTTAGCCCCCAGCCAAACTCTGGCCCCTCAACAATTTTAATCCAGCACGTGACACTTCTCAGGAAACAATTATTATTCCAGCCAAAAATTAAGCATATTTTCAATTAAGGGTGCAAGTGGCTTTGCTATGCTAATAAAGTGCAGAAGAATTTTACAGGGAAATAGCATGACTTCAATCTTAGAATTAATAAAAACATTGATTACTAATTCAGCTTTTGTGGTGATATTAGGACTGCCACTTTGCCTAATGCTTGGTTTGGCATTTTCCTAGTCTAAACTGCATCTAGTGGTGTATCTAGAATATTGGCACGAGAAGAGGGTGATGGAGGGCAAGAAGGTTGAATGACGGCCCTAAAATTAGGTGAGGCCAACTCACTGGCAATATGAGGAGACTTTTAACTAGTGGAGTGAACATATTTTTTATCCAACTCCCCTTTAGCTTTCAGTCTATATATAGTATATAAGTAGATACAGGCTTAACATAAGATATTATGTGTATATGTGTATAAATGGAATGTACTGCAGTTCTCAATAAAATAATATGGATTACAACATTATGTTGTCTGGCTTCGGCCTGGCCTTGACAGATTGGCCCTGCCATCCTTACATTATTTTTTTACCTGAATTTGTCTAGTTTTGGTAAACATTTTACGTAGGCTCAGGAAAACCTTGACAACAATATAGGCTGATGCTGCCCACTGCTGATCAAATGTAAGGTCTTTCACCTCCCTCAACTGTTTTAAAATTTGTAGTCGGCCACCATATGCAGTTACACCATAAACAACAGTCATCACAGTCTGCTTCACAATCTACATCAAAAATTAATGGTTATCAAATCAGTACTTAAATAAGAATTTTACCAATCTAAAATAACTATAAAACACAAGAACACTGAAAAAAAAAAGCGGACCTTATAACATCAACAGTTCATTGCCTGTAAATCTATTTCCTCGTGTGTGGACCAAACTCCCTGCTGATGTGAGGAACTCTATAGTACTGAAATCTCTTCCCAACTCTCTCATGGACATTCATAACTTTTTCTCTGAACAAGATTTCTAAATTATCTCTTCCCAACTCTCTCATGGACATTCATAACTTTTTCTCTGAACAAGATTTCTAAATTATACATTTTACTGACCTTATATGTTTATTAATTATTGTATCTATATTGTTTAACTGTAACTTAATACTTATTGTTGCTTGTTGAAATTTATTTAATTAGTATACCGTTAAGTTTATATGAACTACATGTATTATGTTTTATTTTGTTTTGTTTTTTGTTCATTTTTTTGTTTTGTTGTTTTATTCTTCATTATTAACTGATCTTTAAAATAATTTCTGTAATTTTCTCTTTACATAAAATTATATATCAGTTATTACTGTACATACTAAGAGAAAGTTTGAATTTTTGAATTATGATAGGCCTATTTATGCTATTTATTGTATTGTATTTAAATGTTTTTCATGTTTATATTTATTAATGGGGCAGCTGACTCTCAATGAGTCATAGTAAAATTTTGCTTAAGCTGCCCCTGGTCAAAATGTTTGTTGTACTGTACCTTTTGTAAATGTGTATTGGTCGAATAAATAAAATGAAATGAAATGAAACATTTGCTGATGTTTTGATATACTTTGATACCAACAGTCCAACCTATTACAATGAATGAATTTAATAAACATGATCTGAACAGCATTCTGAAATTCTGAAATGTAAAATATTAATAAATTTATTGATATGTAACCTTTCTGTGAATTTGATCTTTCAATAAAATTGCAATTGGATGACCATCTTTGGCATCTTCAACACGCAACTCTTCTACCTAATAACAAGAGGAAAAAACATTTATTTTTACGTAGAAAAAAATTACTAAAATAATAATTTAGTAATATATAATAATTAAATTTAGTAAATTATTCTCTAAACCAACAAATTGTCACACTTTTCACTTGCAACATGGTGCACTGGTAGGTTAAATTTGTGGTTGCAAAGGCTGTGCTATGGTGTGTGGTTACTGAATCTCATAGGTGTAGAGTCAACCTTTTAACATTAAGACATCATACTTTTTGCTGCTTAAATTTACTTTATCAAAAAAAATGTGGCAAAAAACTTACAATAGTTCTTTTGCGAAAGTGGGAAGTACAAGAATTTTGTATTTTGAGATTTTTTTGCCTGATGTTAATACAACTGAGTAAAAATATATTATATATGAGTAAGGGGATCCCAGAGCTCATTAATTGGCAGATTAATTTTTTATTATCGAAACAGACAGTTACTATGAAGAAAATTTCCTTTAAAAGTCGCTTAGTGGGTCCACCAAAATAGCCAACCTAAATATAGGATAATACCAGATGTCTGTAAACTATGGAAATACTGTGCCAATCAATCAAGTAAACATCTATTTCTCCCAGATAACGGAAACAGAAATACAAATCTGATACACATCCTGAGACCTAAATAAGAACAAAGATGAACTAGATTAAACAGAAAGGACATGCCCCTAGGATATTGTTGCTTTAAAGGTACCACAAAAACAACATTATGTAGCTACATTCAAAAATAAAACGGTTTCTGGTTTTTATTATGTAGAGGACCTTGGATATCCACCTAACCAGAAGGGTTACCCTCTATAAAAATTGTGGGAAAAATATGGACATGCAGATATTTCCCAGCCCCTGTCTATTGAATGACACATTCTTACTGGTCAGATTGTTGGGTTTGACTAGAGAGTTCCACTGCGCTTATTTTCAGATTTTGATTTCATTCGATTATTTTATGATCCACTTGAGTAATTAAACAAATATGGCTTGTTTTACAATGAAATCGACCTACAATAATTATCCATCCTCATGTGGTTCCTCTGCATGTAAATGATCTACCATGATGAAAACCTTGTATTAACTGGTATGGTAAAATATGTGGATTTTTCGAAGTTGGATAACAGATACTAACCATTTGTGCAACTCCATTGTATACATCTTGTGGCAAAGCCATAGGATATAAATTAACTTGCTGTGCACCTATTGCGTCTCTGCCAAGAGCAGCATAGTGCTGTAGACCATTGCAAGAACCATCCTATAAAATATGAACAGCAATTCAAAGATTTATTGCTATGTTATTAAATTAAATCTTATAAGGGGAAAAATGACAAGCTAATTAAAAGATGTTTGAACTATACGATTCCTATAGTATTTTAATATACCGTCATATTTCTGGCAGCAATTCTAAGGATCTACATAGTCAAACTAGTTTAAAACATATATAATTGATTTCCCCGATGCATGACTTATTGAAAGCTGTTTACTTAATTCAAATTTTATTTTTGATGGCACCAAAATACTCCTTTTAATTGAAATAAACAGGATTAAAATATTAAAAATAATTAAATATATATCTACACAATCATTCAAGAGCGACCAAACAAACCACATATTTCGGATAAGGCAATCAATCAAAATTGCCTCACCAAAAATGTCATTTAAATCATATATTGTAATATTTGTGGTAAACAATATGTCGGAGAAACAAAAAACACTCTCCGTATGAGAATGACACAACATAGATCAGCTATCAGAACATCTAAGCTTGATCAACCAGTAGCCGAACATTTTAATTTAGCTGGTCATTCAATTTCAAATTTCAGAGTGATTGCATTTGACCATAATGCCAATTGGAGCGACAAAAATCGCAAAGATAAAGAGAATCACTGGGAACTTTTACTTAAAATAACCACACCATTTGGACTCAATATTAGGAACGTTCTCCCAGTACACTAAATTAAACCTTTGGCATTCCAATTTATTCTGGATAAATCATTTGGCTTATTTATTGAGGCATGCCTCTAAAGTTTAGTTTTGGCCTTCCTGTTTACTTGTTTAGGCTGTTTATTCTAATACCACCTAGCCTATTGTTTCTAATCATGCTTGCATGAAATTCTCACTTTATACTACAGGTATCTGGCTTTTTCAACCCTCACTCACTCGCCAACGAGGAAGGACTAGTGTTGTCCGAAAGCTCTGGTTCTATTTCTGACTGTTAACTTACGTTTACTTTTTAGCTGTTGCTTATCATTTATGTATCTCTACTGCTGTCTCTTATCCACATCT